CTCTTCATGTAAATGGAACCATTCCCGACAAATACATCCTCAAATCATCAAATGCCAATTAATCCCCTGACAACTAATTCTGATCGATCAATTAAATTGCAAAAATCAATCATTCACGTTCAGATAAAATCTCCAAACACCAGATAATTTAATTCCATTCATTAACTAAACAGTCTCTTCATACAAATTATTGTAATTGAAAAATGTAGGAAGAATTAATCTATTATCCATCAATTTACCAAACCAGTAATAAACATAGAAATGAATTAATAAATTACGTTAAAAAATAAGCACTCCATAATTATTAACTCAATCAATAGAAAAATTGTCTTGGTTAATTGGTGATAATAAAAGAATGTGGAATAAATTAGCCTCAAATGAATCGATGGGTTAAAAGAAAAGTGAAAATTGCTTTGCAAATGAAATTCCAAAAATAATTCAGGGTTATCGAAACTCTCCAAGAAAATGAAAACAACTCAATGAAATTATTGAACAAAGACGCTCCAACCGCAATAATTAAAATAATTCTCATTATCCAGGTACATAAGACTATTAACAAATGTTGTGGAATGGCAGAAGTCGCAGGACTGCAACAACATCCGAATAAAATGCGAGCCGGTGCACTTCATTTCCTACTCTAGCCACAAGGAGCCAAAGTCCGAGATAAATCGAAGTCGCTCAAACTTTCCATTGCGGCACAAGTACCAAATAGCCCCACAAATATGCGATAAAAATGGAAACGATTTACTGATAATTGCTCCGGGGTTGAAGCAACACTCGCACCTCCTCAGTCTCCAAAATGCCCGGTCTTCACTGAACAATTCGACCAACAACTCTCTTGCTCTTTCAAAATCCAATGGAAGAGTCACAGCTAATGGGTCTTCGATTATCGAGATAAATCGAGGCAACTGCTTTCACCACGAGAAGAGAATTAAATTCGATAAAGAAGACGAGGAGATGAATGGAAATACAAGAACTGGTCGATCTCCACTCAAAAAACGAGTGAAAATCACTCCCTTCGAAGCGAAGAATCACGACAAGTAACGGATTAAAATCAATCGCTCGATTATATATTGTTGTAATTGTTTTTCATTGTATTCTATAATTGTAATTATTATCTAGAATGGATAGACTCGAATTTCAGTGGTTTTTACGAGTCTCCGATTTTTCCAGGGCCTGTGTAAATATTCTTTTGATTCGATACTGAAAGGCAGATAACTACAATTATAAAAAAATGGGAACTATATAATAATTGATCTAACAAATTATAAGTTCTAAACCGAGAGGTTTCCACTTGGCCAATTAAAGCACGAAATGAGCGCTTATAAATAAAGCACGAAGTGATCCTTCACGGAAATACAAAAGAAGTTTTCACGCTCTAAAAAATTTTGTTGATTTTCTGTTACAAATCTCGTCAATTCGTTATGTACATCTTTATTACGTATTTAATAGAAGAAAGGGTAAAGGTCGACTATACGAATCTTTGATAAAATTAATTTGATACCTTGACTAGCCATGAAAAAATATTGAAACTAAAGGAGATCTAGAGGAAAATAATGTCGATCCGAATGAAGTGAAGGTGGAGCCCAGATCATACATGATCTATATGTTTATTAATTCTAATAAATTAAAAATTAATGAAGAATGAATTCGATGGAAAAATGGAAATTAATAAAAAGTGAAACCCACGTCGTGAACTATAGATCAAGAAAATTTCCAAGAGTCGGTAAAGTTGACAATGGAAAAAAGTTAAAGCTGTTGTTTTATTTAATATTTAATATTTCTCCCTCCGGATTGGAGTTTTAATAGAAAAAGTCTCGAGCCGATATCCACATCCATAAACATTTATTTCCTCCATGAACACCAAAATCTTAATGACATGAACATTGACTTGTCTACGTCAAGTAAACCTTGTACCTCGTGCTCTTCCTCTTCTGCCTTAGATAGCTAAACTTGGACGTGACTTCCCTGAGATTATCCTCAGCAGGAGGTACAGGAGTAGATGGTCGTCCTTCAGCTCCATAACTGAGTGATCTGGCAGGAGGTTCGACCCTCTTGCTGGATGATTTGCAGTCAACGCTGGAGTGCTTGACGATTCCCCCAGAGTTCCTGCCCTTTTCTCTCTCCCTCTGCACCTGGACATTGACAGACGTATCCGTTGACTCTGTCTCATGTCCTCCATTTTCATCAACATCCAATTTGCTCGGCCAACTTCTTCTCGTGGAGCCCTGAGTGTCTCCATAATCTTCACTGAAAGCTTTCCTCTCGTACTTCACCACCTTGTCCCTCCCACTGCTTAAATCCTCGCTCAATCTCAATTTCTCGTTGAATTTCCTGAAAAAACTTGACTTCAGGTTGGAGAATCTCGGATTCCTCCGGGTAGTTCTGTCGTTCCGCTGGTTGAACTCCAGATCCTGACTGCCTCTTCGTCTGTCAACGTATTTGGATCCTGTGACGGATTCGTCCTCGTCGTCGCTGCTGCTCTTGCTTTTGCTCCAGTGGTGGCTCCTGGAGGAACTGGATGACCTCTTCCTGTCGAAACGGAATTTGTAGAGGTCATGGAGCCTCTGGGTGATGACGGGGCCTTTAGTGATTTCGTTCTTCTCCAGTTTTGGCTGACCACTCGGGGAGATTTGATCGGACGAATCGTCAGCTGTCGTTGCTGTAACGATTGACTCCTGCTTCTTGGGGTATTTGCGGAGTTCTCGGTCGTAGTACGAGGAGAACTTCATCAAGGAGGACTTTCTGTCCAAGCTGGAGCGGGAGGACGCTGGGGACGGGTGTTTTGCAAAGGTGATCCATTTGCTCGCTGCGTATCTGATGGAGAACGGCAGAATGATTTAGGCTCTTGTATCATCGAAGAGTGGAGGTGAGATTATTGTTTCACTATTTAAATTTAGATTCACGACATTGTCATTAAATTCATTATGAGTTCTACGGTTTATTTTCAACTGTTAGATTACTTTTGTTAGGTTCAAGAAACCCAGAACTCAGAACTCACAACATTAGAACTCTGCAATGTTGAAAAAATTAATTATGAGTTATTAATTATGAATAAATAATACCTAGCTCCTTGAAACTCCATGTGCAACGCCCGATTCGTGTGATGAGGTCTATCCCCTATCCTGGGTAGTGGAACCCAACGAAATGACAGAGTTCCACTGTCAGGGCTCACTTGAATGTCATTATTGCTGCTGGTGATATCGCTGTCCTCCTGCATCGACTCCCTCCAGCCGTCAGACCTCCTCGAGCTCTCGGGATCATCTCGGCTACCTGATGACTTCCGGAGAAGGAGTTTCTCCCGACTCTCCGTTATCTCTGGCGAGTCAGGGGACTTGTCATAGAAGTTCGGGGACTTTGGGAGATTGAGCCAACGCGTTGCGTAGATACGGGCGACTTCGGCGCCCTCCGTATTTCGACGCTCCTCTATTCGCTCCGCGTACTTTCGAAGACGATCGACGTCGGCGGACCGACTCCTGGTGCTCCGAGGGGAGCGGGAAGACCGACGCTCTGTGCCCGTTGGGCTCATCCTATCCTGGTGGAGAGAAATTGGAGGAAAAATGGAGGGAGATAATTATGACTCTTAAAAGAGCGGATCTGTTCATGGTTTGTATGAGAAGTAAGTCTCAATATTGAAAGGGCGTATGTTTTTTATTTCGTGTTTTTTGATAAAAATGGAGGGAGAAAATTTGATAATTAAAATTTTTTATGTTCAAATATTTGTTATGGTTATTTTTCGTTTCATTATCACGCTAAATCTATTTTCAATGGTTCTGTTTTAATTATAACATTCATTATGATTACCTAAGCAAAATGGAGGCGTGCATACTCCGATATGTGAAGAAGTCCGTGTTCCGGGGATGCCACGTGGAGACTCGATGCACATGCCCTGGGATTGATTCTCGTGTTCTGCAGCTCAGCAATTTGACTGCTGCAAGCAGCAGCTGGATCTCCACTCGCCTCCAGGTATCCTCTCCAAAATTCATTACCAGGATAAGCATTTCCGTCCCAGGCGTAGGTGACAACCAACAATTTGTTAGCATCGGTGCCTCTGAAGAGTTTGCTGTGGGGCTCCCGTAGAGCAAAATGAATTCTGATGTCTGAGGATCAGAAATTATTACAACGATTGACAAACGGATATGTCTGACAAATCAAACGGAGCAATCAATTCACAGCGAACAATTCTATTGAATATTTATTTCTACCTCCAAGATAATCTCCATTTCCTGCCCCTCCACATTTATCTTTCCTAAAGTAGGCGAACATTATGTCTGAGACGTATTTTAATTTTCGATTCATTTTCTTCAACGCGATTTCGAAGGTCTTCAGGAAATAAGATTCTTGGTCCTCAATCAGTCTCCAAACTCCTGGAATTGACATAGAACTTGGAAAAGTCACAATTAAACAAATGTTCTCTGTTATATGTTATGTTCTCTGGTCTCTTTCCTCACTGCATTTAATCACGTCATTTATTAATTAAGCGTGGAAAAAACTTGTACCTAATCCAAATCCAACGATATGTAAAAATGCAGTGGTGTTTTGCTTTTCGGCTCTGGTATTTGCCTCGAGCAGTAGAATTTCCACTGATAGGAGTGTTCGCTTCATGTAATTCTCAATGTCAAAGAACATGTGAGAATGAAGGGCCATGTATCGCTTGTTGTCCCTCGATTTGACACGTCTGACTGCTTCCTCGTAGGTCGGATGATAATCTTCTCCATAGAACCTCGACCAAATCACGCGCAAACCCCGGATTTGATCGATCGTTCCCTCTCCAGCAGGTCCATACCTTCAAGGTTCATTAATCAATCATTAAATCAGTGCCAACCATCACTTCGTTGCTTCTGCATCATTATAAAGTTATTATACCCGTTGTCGAGATTATTTTGGTGGGGAGTTATCACCATGTCCTCGTATTCCATCACTTGAGCCCTTTCAAACCTAAATTAACGGCGAATTTGTACCGTAATGAGAAAAATTATGGAAATTAAATTCTCGATTGTTGTTATTATCAGTTCTTTATTTATTTATTTATTTTAGTATTTTATGTTGTAGGATTGGACGGAATGTGGACCAGAATCAGGATAATTACAACCAGTCTAGTTCTCGGGGAATATCTTGGAACCTAAGGAGGATACAGAAAATTTTCAGATTACCTTTTCTGTAGAGTGCAGTGAGAGCTACAAAAAAGGTGTGTTTGTTGAAGGATGAGTCGTGAAGGTTGGATTAATTTGGTGAAAACTCAAGTCTTAAAACAATTCGCGTTTAATGGTCGTTCAAAGTAAATGTACACCTTTTACAGGGTTTTTGTTGAAATATAAACGAGTTGATTAATAAGTGGAAATAATAATTGAACCTGTTATAATTATTAATGAAAGCAACCGTAATTAAAGACGTTGATGTACAAAACTGTAATAAATCGCGATTAATTGAGACGCGGTTGAATTTCAATTACCGTTATGATAGACGGTGATTATCGATGCGAAACGATCAATTGATGATGTTAAACTTTCAGTTGACGGTGATAGACTGAACTTTTGGGGTCAAGACGCTAGACGTTGATGACTTTTGGCAGAAAATCAAAGTTAGCTCATTCTCATCGTTGAGTTTTCGAGGAATAACTCTCTTTCTGAAGGAGATAGCGAAATTATGTATAAAAAATTTTTTGTAGAGCAAAGAGAGAGCTACAAAAAAGATTTTGACAAAAATTACCCTATCTCCATTAGTTGATGAGATATTCCTCGAAAACGCGAGTATTCACCTCTTCGTTGTTGAATTATTTCTGATTGACTACTTGAATTAATTAATTAAATGATAAGTGCTCAATTATTGAGAGAAGTGTTTAAAAATAATCGCAAAGATTTGGAATCGAAGGTAGGTTTAACCTTTGGATATTTATAAAAAAGTGAGGATTTTCTTACAGTCCGTATTTATACACTTCACCTTGAGCCGATTACTCCCATAATGACACCTCGGGGCTGGTAGCTATCTGGATCATTACTGACAACTCCTCGATTATCTCTAGCACCGTCATTTATGAATTCCGTGTGCGAAGAGAGGATCATCATCGCCGAGAGCTTGATCTCATCGTAAGAAAGACAATGTTCCAATATCTGCAGTGCAACGAAATATATAAAAGAAATTTCATCATATGTATTCATTTATCCGATACATTGCTATTATGTATCTGATATAACTAATATATATTTCACATATATGCCATTTGGGTGTGAGTAATTTGCAATGGACGGAATTGAAAAGAGTGCAAACAATACGATCTTATTACAGACTTATATAATTCTAATTTATTATACTACGGGACCTACTGCGCACTCTGTGCGCGGAATTTGAATTTGAATTTTTTGGCGGTTCGACTCGACCAATGAGAAATTAGTCCTACGCGTTTCGAGATATTTCGACTCGGGCGAACTTCATTTTTGTGTTTCTACTTTCATAATAAGGAATAATAAGGATGAGATAATTTTTCTTGGAGAGTGTGCGTGGTCTCACGACGAAACTCCAGATGATTGTTTATTAAACAGTATAAACAAATATCTAGGCATGCAAACAAAGAAACTACCGTGTCGCTGCATTGGTCTTTGTAACTTCAAGATTACAAAGATCACAAACATCACATCTTAATAAAGTATAATTCAATTGCTTTTACATGAACGTTTCATTAATTCATTAACGGGGCTCTCAATAAAAATAACAGACGCAATTGAATAATGTAAGTGATAATAATAATTGAATGATAATCTTGATTTACCAATGGCTCTTTTTCCTGACTGGTCCCCACAGCCTCCCAACCCCCTTCACCACTTGAATTATCAATCAATCTCCATCGATCCTCACCCCCATAAAATTCCACTGCCCTCTTCTCCAACAATCTTTGAATGAATTTCATCAGGGTCATGTTCCTGTAGAGGGTTCTCTCCACGTGACTCCCATGATCCCGTTTATGCTTCAGCCATCCAGCAATCAAAGGCAGCATCGCCTCGTGAATTATTGGATACGCGGAATTCGCGTTAAACTGCAGATGTAAATATCCATTAATTACATTAATTAAATAAAACAAAATACAAGAAAAATCGAGAGTTGAATTGAAAAGTGAAAAAAACCTCGAGGATGTCTTCGCTGATTCCTCTAGCCCTCAGGGCAGCGCACTGCACTGTCTTTATGGGAAATTGAATGGGAAATCCATCACTTTTTTTTATAATCGTGAGAATATTCACTGGTGGAGGCACTGGGACCCCCATGCAATCTCCCACGAGCTCTTTCGTTTCATCATCGAAAGGAACTCCATTTGGTGAACCCAGGGTATTCTCCCAGGAAATTTGTGGCGGTTCCATCGGAATCGGCACCTTCTGCTCTCCTTGTCGATAATTTCTCCGCTGACAATCAAATTTGTTTAATTAAAACTCGACAAAAATTCCGTTTCCATTTGTTGGATTTCGGGGTTTACCCGGATTTAAAATTCACTCTTCTTGAGTTTTTATATTTCCGGATTTACGAAGTATTTATTTCTTTGTTGCTGTGGGACATTTCCTTTATGTTATAACAAGAAAAGGGGAGAGTCCAGGTAGGACTTTTCATTGTGGGTTCTTCCCCTAAATACATCTGGTGATTAGAGAGGGTCAAGAAAGAGAACAATCGAAGGCTTAAGGATAGAAGGAGAAATTATATTGCCCTTTAGAGTTTAATGTGGGCCTCACTAGTAATGTTCAGTTAGTTCGTTGTAAGTCTTCGTTCAGTCAAGTACCTCTTGACTGTCTAGAGTCTTATAATTTTTAATAATAATTCTCAGTCTTAAAATTCTCCAAGTGTTTATTTATTTCAATCTCCATACTCCAATACCATTTTCCATGTTTTTTTCAAAATTTTATTAAATTTCGCGTTATCTTTTAAACGCTATATGTTATTTATTTATTTTCTAACAACTCCATTACTTTAATATTTTTGGAAAGTACGTTTTAAGTTTATAATAATTAATGAATCGACTGACTTTTTGAAAGTAATTTTTTTTGTGAGTGCGCCATTTCGATTTGAGTGTTATTGAAATCTGAATGGTTTCTTTCGCTTTTGAAAATTAACGACGAGATAACTGTCAGGAGCATCTGATATCAGTGAAGGAGACACGATCATCTATTTATGGAGATTTAATTGATTACTGGTGGGTCAGCCCTTTGACTCGTCACCATAAAATCCATTAAGTGGCGGAAAATGTGGGCATTCACCCACGAGATTTCCCGTGGCAGTCGTATCAGGTACGCAAATATCTCATCTCCATTGGTATTGGCTATTTCGTAACCTTCGAGGGAAGTTATCGACCATTTTTTACCGATTTTTACCGATTTTTACCGATTTTTTGGTTAAAAATTGCAGTTCCACTGACAAAAACGCAAGACCCACTGATAAGAAAGATTATTTCCCAAAGAAGAAAAATTGTAAATTTTCCCCAAACCCTAAACTTCTCAAGTGAATAAATTGTTAATAAAACTAATTATTTTCCTCATTGTATCAAATCAAAGTGCATTACAGAATAAAAAAACAAATTGATACTTTAGACCGATTGAAATGCGTTTTCCTCTGGTAATTAAAAATTCTCGCGAATGAGGAAAACGGTTTTTCCTCATTTCCCAGTTTTGCATAAATATTTCTACATAAAACAATTTTATTTTCCTTTAAATCAGGTTAATCTATCAATAATAGAATCGTTTAACAGAAAACGGTTAAACGTTATGTGAAGTTGTTTGAATGTTAAATAATTTTCCGAACTCATGAAAATTCCGAAGAACAACCGGCGGATAATTGCATTCTTATTCGTGTCACTTTATCACCGGTTTGCCTTGACATTTTTACACTTTAATATCGAACTTAACAGTTGAAACTTACCCGGCGAATGCAACAGGCGAATAGTGACATTTTCCTCTAAAGTACGAGAATAAATCGGATAAGTCACCACTTCCTCCCACCACTGATTAAAAACTTGTTATCAGTTTTGATGAGGAACTCCGGGGTTTCAACGATTTGTGTGAAAATAGTGTCGGAATTTTTTAATTATACCCTAGATTTTCTCTGAATTTTCCTCAGATGGAATAAAACTTTCTGGATTAATCAATTTTAGTCATTAGTCAATTCAAAAATTTATTGGGATTAATTGGGAAAATTAAAGTTGTTTAATTCACGCATTTATTTGACGGAACTCTGGGAAATTTATGGGATTTAAACGAATTTTCGGAAAATCTTCATTTTGTTTTTTTCAATATGGCATTTTCAGTATTTAGAATTCAAAGTTTTACCGCGAAAATATGGATTGAATTCCTTTGGAATTTTGGAGAATTCGTTGAAACTTCCGAAAATTCTGGGAATTATTGGAATATAATCATGATTTTTCAAGATTTTCCACCAATTTCCGAACTTCCGGTGATTAATCCCCAAAATTATTAATATTTAATGACGGAATTCCTTGAAGTTCCAGTGGAACTCCAGCATCATCGAAATTTCCACTGAATGCACTGGAAATTCTCGAGAAAATTGTGAACAGTCAATAGTCACAAATTCACTCTCGACGTGTCAAGAATTTTCCAAGAAAATATTCAGTAAAAATTACGCAATTCATAATTTTCGGTGTCATAATTTGTCACAAGAAATTCAAGTAAAATTACGGAAAACTCCGAAAAAATGTCGTAGCAGGTAAAAAGGTGTTTTCGTTGCGCAATTGAAGGAACTTAATTTTCAACTGAATAATTCTCTCAGTAGACAGTGCAGTAAACAAAAACGAACTTTGAATTCCACGGATGTCTTCAGGTAACGCTGACCGATCACATTGCGAGTAAACAGATATCGAGGGATGAGAACTGATCTATGCAACGCATGCGTCCGCTAAAATTGCGCATTTTCAATCAATCATCGAGTTAACAACAATCGAATGAAAAGAGGAAATATCCAAGGACTTTTCTCTAATTAGAAAAGACTCAATTAACGACAATCGACGAAGCAGGATGTGCTAGTATCAAGAGATGAGAGATGAGCTCCAGAGGATCCTGTGGAAATCAATAAACCGGAGCCAGTGATCGGCTGTAGGTAAGATCATTATCTTCAGATGTACAGAGAGCAACGCGCAAGTCAAATAAAAGTGATTGTATGATTTGACTTTCGAGTTCTCGAAATAACGATGAAAATTTCCATTCAAAAATTGACAGTGAAATTCAACTCATTATGCATCGGGGTGAAATGTTAAAGGTTAAATGAAAATTAAGGTCAAAATTGTGGGTCAAAATTGTGGGTCAAAATTGTGGGTCAAAAATGAGGGTTAAAACGAGAGGATAAATATGTGTTGAGAGTCAGGGAAAATTTGAGGGTCAGAGAACTAAAGATTGTTAAAAAAGAGGAAATAAACGGTTAAAATCGAGGGTCAAAAATTAAAGGTTAAGACATGATAATTGAGGGTCAATGGTGCATATGAATTGAGGGTTAATAATAAACGGCGGGAAATGGAGGAAAATTGAGGGTCAAAACATTAGATGGAGCAAAGAAAGAGTGAAAAGCCAAAAATTTCAGTCTTGGAATGAATAAAAAGTTGGGGACAAATAAATAAAAATAAAAGTGAGGGAAATTGAGGGTTTAAAACGATGGAGACATGTTCTCACGTTTTTTAAATATTTATTGATATAATTTTTCTAGTTAGTGGACGATAGTTTATCTTGCCAGTACATACCTGAGAGTTTGAAGGTGTTGGAGGAAGATTGCAGCAACGATTGACATCGTTTCTCCCACCGCAAAAACAATGGACAGACCTACATTATCCTCCTCTCTCCCCGAATCGATGGCCAATCGATGCAAAAGTGTTACATGAGTTTATGTAGCACGCGAGCCGCGAAAGTAGATTCAGTCGGTGATTTTCTTCGCCATTTGCCCATTTCTCCATTTTAAAACCAAGAGTTTCGCACCGATGAATAATTAATAAACATCCTAATTCCCTTTCAGATTCGCTCATGAATTTATTATTTATTCAATATTCTAACTTTTTTTGACGCGACTCATGAATTTAAATTGAATTCACCGAATTTTCCAGATTTTATCGCATTCTTACGCAATTCAATTATTGAAAGTTAAATTAATTTCAGCATAAATTAATAATATTAACAATCATATAGTGCCCTCAATTATGGTTATGAGTGAAAATAATTACTTCTAAAGTGATTACATGTAATTGCAAAATGAAAAAGGAAGATGTCGATTAAAAATTTCAGTTCTTGAAATTTATCATCTAGTAAAAGTGAAATAATCTCCGAAACCAAGGGAAATAATGAAATTGTTGTAATAACCTTTTTTGTAGCTGTCAATTAGATCTACAAAAAATGTAATTACAGAAATTGAATTACCTCCACTGGTTTTCGAGATTTTAGCGAATTAACTCAATTTCCTTTCACTTTTCGCTGTAAAATTCAAAAAACTATCGAAAAATAAATAATTAAATCAAATGGCCTCTGGGCCCACCGCAAACCATTCAAAAAATCCTGGATCACAACATAACGGATATTTCCAGCATCCACCCTCACCTGTAGGGCCCCGTTCTCCAAAATCTCGACTCCAAAAAAATTAAATTCCAACTACCAAAATCTCGGATTCAAGACACTCAAATTATCTCAGTATCAACCAATTTCCCAGAAAACTTCATTTCACCTTTTTCGTAGCTAATAAGAATCTCCACAAAAAAGTTTCTACAATATTTTCTCCTAGACCCCTAATTACGCAGATAATTGATGAATTAAAACTAAATGTCTGGAACGAGAACTGTTCCCGGAATGTCAAGATCAATTCCACTGGTCGGTCATTTATCTCGGTAATGGTTGGATTAAGGTGGTAAAGTTATAGGACCTTTTTTTTAGCTGACAAGTTTTTCTACAAAAAAGGTCCTTTGACCTTCGCAGTGCGCCTATTCAAACTCATAATAAATGGCATCGAAGGTGTAATTAGACTTTCGTGATTCATACGAGTGCTCGACGTCCCGGGCATAATCACGAATATCTACATACCTGTAATGGCCTCACGAGCAAGGTACGCAGACGAGGGCCTTTCAACTTGTTGGTTTCACAGTAGTACCGCATAGTCTTCGTTAAGGTGTGTTTCCCTCGGCTGCAACCAAAGAAAAAACGTAAGACAACTTTAACACCCGATTTCTCTGATTTCCCCCGAATAATTCATTCCCTCGATATCGTGTAATGATCATTAAAGTGGCAGTTTAATAATCTCATCGAAACAATTCTAGTTCTCGCCCCCAATTACCAGTCAATTAACTAAAATAATTACGACTGAGAATAGTCCAGCTGGACTTAGGAGTGAAATTCAAGGCAAAAAGAACCGTCACTTTTTGACAAGTATCTCTCGAACTAGATCAGATAGCAAAATTTTCGTTAAATCTTTTTGATAGCTCTTGAAATTACCCGCAAAAAGTTTCAAACGATGATCTCGCTATCGGCTTTAAGTTCGGAGATATTCCGGGAAAACTGAAGTGAAAAATGGAAATTTTTCTGGTTCACGTCGTGGTGACCAGTGGTGGCTAGAAAAAAGTGATTTTACTATTTGATAAATATCTCGGAATTCAGAGGAGATAGCGGAATTTTTATTGGACCTTTTTTGTAGCTCTTGAAATTCCCCGAAAATAGTATCCGATGATGATTTCGGTGGCTCCCGGTGGTTTCGAGATATTTTAAATAGAATGGAAAAAGTGGGAGAATTACTCTGACTTGTGATGAATAATGAGTTGTATGAAAATTTTTGCATTGAAATTCTCGTCTTAAGATAAATCTCGCGGTGATTTCAATGCATGCATTCTGCTTTACCGGTCGGACCTCAATGTGTGATTTTTTCACTGAGATAAATCAGTTTTTCCTCTTTAAATTCTAGAGCCACATGTTTCATGGATTTTTAACTGAATTCTACTGACGGCGGTTGATGACAGTTCGGAGAATAAATCAGGAATATTCACGGTAAATCTGCTGGGAAGATCACTAAAATCATAACGAGATGGATCAAGGTAAGTTTTTTTTTTTCAATTATATGAGCTTTGAGTTCAGGCGTGTCCGATGGGGAAATCGGGCGTCATTTATATTTCGTGACTTGTAATTTTTAACGGGATTGAAGACAGTGTTTTTGATTGCACAATCCACTTGGAGACGTTGGGGTACATCGGGGAAAGGCGCGAGAGTTCAATGCACTCGGAATTATTTTATTCGCGTGCACGAGAAAATTAAAATTGTGGGGAATAGTGGAAAATTACCGTCTTAATTTTGAATCTCGAGAATTTTTATCAACTTGTGTTCAAGTTTCACTGAAATTTCACGATTTTTCGCCGTTCATCATTCGAATATTATTTTTTTTTAATTCAACCAATTTATAAATCACGAAAAATCAGGAAAATTTCTAGTCTAACTGAATATAAAAAAAATAACAGTAACAGTTATAATAAATATTAAAGTAATCTCATTTAAATAATTAAATGTTAACGCTAATTGCGGCGTTTAGTAATCATGTAGTAAATTGGCTTTGAACAATTTTTTATAAAAAAAAATCCTTCACAATTTGTATTTGGACTTGGATTCCATCAGAAAAAATCAGTGGAACTGAATTAATTCCGCTGACAGCGCGAAATAAATCTTAAATAACCCGCTGATGCATTAAAAAATTAAATAGATAATTCTAATAATAAAAAAATAATTTCCTATATTTTAAGATTTTATTAATTTTTTATTGAGCGTACAAATCATGTGCTTTATCTTTTATTTTATTGAATGTTAATGAATGTATTTTTTTGGATTCTGATCTGTTCAGGGGACTCAAAAGTGAAATGCCGTTTGTAATCTTTGATTTTACATTAATCACGATAAGTTGTAATCTATGAATTGACTGGGATGACGTAATTCGAGATAGAAAAAGAGCTCTTCCCATAATTGTTGAGGAGGTATTGTGAGCGTGTGCCCAATTCACAGTAGTTATCCATCCTTGCTTATTGCTCATGACCGCTGGGGTTTAAGTCATGTAGTGATAGAGTTCCTTTGAAAACCTTGTCCTCTTTTTACAACGAAATGTGAATGATGAAGACGCATGGGATAATCGCAAGTACTCCATAGAATCTCTTGGGCTATTTCTCACAGGATTTTCCGCTCCCTTCCCTGATTTCTCTTTCAAATCAATTCCCCATTTTTCCATTTTCCTGTTGTAAATATTTTTTTAATCATTAAAAATATCGGGGAGATAAACTGTCTTTCTAAAATTGATAAATTTATCATAAATTACTTGATAGGTGGATTATTGAATCATAATTAAATTGAATGATGGGAAATATGAGAGATGAATGGATTAATTCAGGCGTGAGGAATGGAAGAAATTTGCGGATGAAAAACTGGAAGTAAACAAATTTCATTTGGGTAGGAATTTAATTCATTAGTTGATGATTAGTTTTTTATTTTAGTTCTTACGGTTTCCGGAGGGAATTCGCTAATTTTTTTTTAATTCTTTGATACAAAAATCACTACGCAGTTGTTCAATCTAGAAACCAATAAAAAAAGACCTTCGGAGAGTCAATAAACAATAATTGCTCATAAAGCTTCTAGGATAATTAGAGAGAAGAAACTGGAAATAAACAAATGTATCGATTTTCACAAATTTTCGTTTCAATAATTTCGTACGAACAATAAATATTTCCAAAAATGCAGAGATAGTTGTTTATAAAAAATGATGAAAATAATAAATCTGAAAACCCCAATCGCCGATGAGGAATTCAGGAAATCCGTAAAAAACTACAACTAAAACCAAAATCGGAAAATTTTCTGTTCAGTTGCTCCGAAAAAAAAACAACGGAAAATGTTAAATAATTCATGGCAATGTCCCGGTCACGTATTGTGTACATAGTTAATGAATTTGAGTTGTTCCAACGTGTCATCTACTCCCGGAGTTCTCTATAAACCAGCTTTCACCAGGTATCATGTCCCCACCAACTTCTGCAATCAAGAAAATTTTCTAAATCCTCTTAAAGCGACTGTACAATTTTCTCCCCTCACACGGATTATAATTTGTTGTTAAATTTAACCCGATGTTACACATTTTTTCGATGTTCTATCGATAATTTGACACTAATTCTAATAAACCCAGAAAAATTGTTATTAATTTTCTTATCTCGTCGAGAAATTTCTAAATTCATGAGTTTTCCGTGAATTTTCGGAATTTTTCAGGATTTCACCTAAAACTAGCAATAAAACAATTATAAATAATCGTTACTTAAATTACTATTAATTATTATTCTATTCATTACTCCGTTTATTTCAAGATTTTTCCATTTTACACTTTGCATTAAATAATGGACCCTTAATTATTGATTAATGAATATTGATTGATTTATTATTAATTTAAGTAAATATAGTCATTAGTAATAATCCAATTAATAGTATCACTAATGATTATAAATATTATAATAATTTCTCACAATAATTTATCTACGAAATTCGAGGAGAAGAATGAGCGAGAAAAATTACTGGAATTCAGCCCTGAAAATTAATACGAAAATGTTTACGAGTTCATTTATTTATCGTGTTTATTTATGGATAACCATCAGGTGGCATTGATAATCAACTCGATTGAGTGCTAAATGTCTGAAAAGAGTAACAATTTGCGACAAGGCCGAATAACTCACGTGACAAGGACACATTTCCGCTCACCAGAGTATTTTCCACTTGAGACGAAATTCTCCTGACGTGTGTAGCATGATTCATGCAATACTGCTGGGTGTAAAAACCCTGAGAGCTATGAGGAAAGAACTTATTATGTGTATCTGTCATTGCTACATCGGACATGTTTTTTTATTAATCTCATAGTGAAGTAAGAGTTGAGAGAAGGCCTTGAGTTGAGAGATTAGTTCGATCCTGAGTTCATAATCGAGGATTATCCCGAGAATCATTTCCTTTTGAGAAAAACCCTAGAGAACCCTCAAAATCAAGAGAGATTCAGTAGACTCCATGTCGACAGGTAATCAACAGAGTTTAGGTGACCGCAGGGTCAGTCTGATTTTGGGGACACTTGACCGAAAAAATCCCCCGATAAAGTAAGAGTTACAAATGTTACAATCGACATCTCAACAAGTATAAATACGAGTTAATTTTTAGAGTAATTGGTGTTTAATTCTTCGAGTTACATAACAATTATTTTTTTATTAGTTATTCAACGAGGTATAGACAATTCATCAAGTTAAAACCAGATTTTTTTATGGATTAGACAAGTTCACGCGGTTTAAACCGAATAAAGTATTGCATGTTACTTTTTTGCAACCTTATCAGTGCACCTTTTCCCCCAACCCGGCGTTATCAGAGTCGCTCACCAAACAGACTTTTTTTGTGGACCATTCAATTTTGCAGAAATGATTCTAATAATATTTTCTTGTAAATCCGCTCCTTATCGAGGTAAGTCGAGATTTAATCGGGAATTACGCGGCTTTTGAGGGGCAGTGGAATGGAATATTTATTATGATAGAGAATTGCTGGATCGAGTCAGGGAATTCGCATTGTTAATAATTTATTGGTGATAAGAATTAGCAGTGTCTCGCTGTCGAAGGCACGTGCGATGTTATCTTCAGTTGAGAGTGATTTATCTTTGCGGATGTTGGTGATGTGAATTTTTTCGTAATGATGTGGAAATGGGAATAGATTCTTGAATTGGCAATATGAATTCTCGAAGTGGGAATATAAATTCTCGGGCTTGTGAGTTCCTGAATCGGGAAGATGGAACCAATTCCGGGTAAATATTCCTCCATTGGGAATGTAAACAAACGCGATTCGGGAATATGAATTTATGAATTGGGAATTCATATTTCTGGGTGAGGAATTCATATTCCTGATTTGAGCAATAAAAATTCTCGAATTCAAATTATGAATGAATCCGATTTGGATATATACATTCAGAATTCGGGAATTTGTGTGATCAAATCAGAAATATGAATTCCTCATCCTGAAATATGAATTCCTCATCATGAAATATGAATTTCTCATCCTGAAATATGAATTCCTCATTCGGAAATATGAATTCCCAATTCATGAATTCATATAATTAAATTGAAAGATGGGAAACACGGAAAATAAATGGATTAACATGAGGCAGGAGGAATGTGAGAAATTTGCGGATGAAAAACTGGAAGTAAACAAATTTGATTTTAATAGGAATTTAATTCATTAGTTGATGATTAATTTTTTATTTTAGTTCTTAAGGATTCCGGGGGGAATTGACTAAATTGTTTTTAACTCTTTGATAGAAAAATCACCAGGCAGTTGCTAAGTCTAAAATTTTAATGAATATTAATACATCCATGAGTGTTCATATATTTTTGACAGGGGAATATGAATTCCCGAGTCGATAATAAAAATTCTTGAATGTCGAATATGAATTCCCAAGTCGGCAATAAAAACTTTTGAATGTCGAATATGAATTCTCGAGCCGACAATAAAAATTTTGGAATGTCGAGTATGAATTCCCAAGTCGGCAATCAAAATTCTTGAATGTCGAATATGAATTCCCGCGTCGGCAATATAAATTCTTGAATATGGAATATGAATTCCAGCATCGGCAACAAAAACTCGTGAATGTCGAATATGAATTCCTAAGTCAGCAATAAAAACTCTTGAATGTCGAATATGAATTCCCAAGTCGGCAATAAAAACTCTTGGATGTCGAATATGAATTCCCAAGTCGGCAATAAAAATTCTTGAATGTCGAATATGAATTCCCGAGTCGACTGGATATTTATCTTCGTAAAAGATCGAGAGTTAATGGCTTTCCAGGGAGTGAGACGTCATTTATCTCAGTGTTTAATCAGGATTTCTTTTTCAGTTCGATTGTCCGTGCTCTTGACCCTCTTGACCCTCTCGTCGGTGATCCTCGCCCTGCGGGATGGCGCACCACCTGATGCCTGTGGACACTTGACCCCTCGTCATCCTGGGACCGCCGTGACTAATAGTTATCCACCATATCAGATACTTCCGGCGGCTGGACAAGGCAGAATTCGAGTGATTCTCGGTAGTCCCCAAGGACTCGCTTATCAGGGATTCATTATCAATGCTAGAAGCGCTGATACTGGAGAATATATCGGAGAATTCACCAATCTTCCGGACAACGTCAAGGCTATCGAGTGTACACCCGGTCTCAAGGCAATTATTCCATCGATAATTACCAGAATAAATATTGAAATCGAGAAATTGTTAGCAAATGAGTCAGTCACCGCGGAATATCTCTGAATAAAAAAATATATCGATTTTTTTTTATTGGGAAATCGTTCTTTTTAGCAGAGTAGAATGCAAACTGCAAAAAAAGTATTCACAAAAATTTTGAATTCCTTTTAGATTTAGAGATATTTCTCCTGAAAGAGTCATATATTATAATTACTATTTCTCCAATGTCGAGATAATTCCAGCTAAATCGGAATTGTCATCTCATCGTCTGATCGATGATTTATTGTATCAATCAGATCATATTTTCGTTATCATTTTGAAAAATCGAAAGCCACTTGAGACGAATTGTAAATAGATATCGTTTATGAGAAACGCTGACTTTCTCGATTTTGGACTCGACGTAAAATTACTCAATAGATTATTTTGCTCTTGAGATAAGTCAATATTTTTTTTTATTCGCAGGATGGAGTTACTCACACAGACACCAGTGAAAAACACAATATTGAGTTCGATTGGGAGGCACCAGCCGACTACGAGGGAACTATTATTTTCAAGTACAAATCATTTCCTTTTCAACTTTTACAGTTTTCTCAATTTCAATTAAGGAAGGAATGGCTTTTCATCAGCAGAAAAAATCAATAGCAACCACAAATCATTCCTTAAAATTCAGAATTCCATTATCCTTGGATAATTCGTTGAACACTAAAATTCGGCTCTCCCTCAAATACTTGCAATGAAAATTCCCCATCGGAAGTAAAAGCTTAAAGAATTTCCGTGGAGCTCTGAAAATTCCCAAGGACAAATGGTTCTCAGTTTCTCCTCCATCGATATCTCTAAGCAGTTCCATTTCTAAAGCAATTTTCATTCCTTCAGCTCGACATTCGCCCAAGATTACAGCACGTACTGGATAGGGGTTGAATCTCCCCGCATAACTGTTTTGGGACGTAGCATCGAGGTGATGACATCTCCAACACCACCACCAACCGAGAGACCAACGACACCACCGTATTACGAGGCACCTGTGGCACCAGAAGTAAGTAGAAAGTAAATGGTCAAGCACAAACTGACCACCGACATGGCAGGATTTTATAGACCGAACAAGACGATAAAATATATCTCACAAGTGAAATGTCTCAAAGATATCCATCACTGATCCTTCAAGGTGTTCATTTACCCCCATTCACTTCAATCATAACTCGTTAGAGACATCACACGTACCAGCTGATTGTAATCACACCTCATTGCTCTATCACGTAATCCAGGCGGAAGTGCATTACCACTTTCAATCAGCCTTGATCATTTTTTTAATTAACTTTTTATGTCTGAACATCATCGCATTTAATGAGGGTAGGTGAATTTCCTTCTTTGACCTTGCCATTCCTCGAAACTTCACAATTTTTTTTCCAACGTTGGGAACGAGTTAATTACTTCCGTGACAAAATGGGGGTAAATTTTTGCATAGAAATGTTATTATTTAGTTTTTTAGGATTTTCTTGGAAGCTGTGGGAGCTAGGGATATTTTTGTAAGGACCTTTTTTGTAGCTCTAGCTTCGGTCTATGAAAAAGGTTCTTATGGAAATATCATTATTTCCCTTATATTTGGAGATATTCGTTGAAAACTGACGAGCGGAGTGACTGAGGAATTTGTGGCACAAAGAATTTCGATTTCACGAACATTTCGCGACGTTTAATTCAATTTTCGAGAATTATCTTGCTGAAAAATTGAGGGAGTGGTCTTGTTTGTGAAATATTCATCGCACTGACACAGCAACTGCCGTAACTGTTGTTGAAACGTCCTCGAGACGTAAAAGAGACCATAAACCGAGGTATTTCATTTTTAAACGAAATTCGTTTGATAGTTCCAGAGATATTTTCACATTTATGAAAACTCATCCCTCTGAATATCTCCAAAAGTTCCAGACTATTTCTATTTCCATTGAAATTTATACGTAAATTTTCTCCTCACCCCTTGGCGCACGAAATTTTCATTTATCCATTTTCATCCGGGTATTTATAAATTCTTCTCAATTACTCTTTCGCTGACAATCGATGTCACTAGTGCAAATATGACAGCTGAGATTTTGAATTATAAACACGGAAGTGGGTCAAGAAGTCCTCGGTAAATTCAAACGTCGGGGATTTGTGGCGAATGCATGTTAAACAAATTTTAAATTCAGGAATATTTTATTAATTAACGTCGGGGGAATGATTTTTTGCTCATTTCAGTAGAAAAAGACTCATGGCCTTTCAAATTTCATTAAAAATTCAAGTACCGAATTTTTGAACAGAAAAACGGAAAAAAATTTTAGTTTATTCCAATTTTTAGAAATATTTAATCCACTGCAGATTTAAGGAAATATTCCCCAGATTTTTAAAAAACATTTTCCCAAGATCCTCAAAAGAAACATTACCTCCCGCAAAAGCATTCGTTTCTCTCAAAACATCTTGACGAAGAAAAAATGAAGTATATATAGAAATTAAAAAGTACCCGAAAATATAAAATTAAAAGAAAACTTAGATACAAATATTTTAATTTCATTTTTTTGCATTTGTCCCTGAGAACACTGAGAAATAGTATATTATGCATCAAGGGCGGAAAGTCATGTTTTCCCGCCGTCGGTTCACATGATATTTTTCAATATGTCTGCCGAGGAAATTCCGTGATTTGCGCGGGACGAAAATTCAGATGCGCGGGACGAAAATGAACACTTTCCGTCCTAGGGTGGAGTACTCATACAGTGACTACCAGATTTACTGGTGTCAAAGAATATATTTAGCAAAAAAAAATATATTTTCTCAGTGTATCTGCCGATTATTGAGGCGCAAAACGCTCCCTAAATGCTCTACAGTTGACTATATAAAAGAACCTCCTCCTCTCCACGAATCTAACCCCCAAAATCTTTCAGAAAGACGAAGCGCTGACGCGGAAACGCGCCATCTACTCCGGCTGTGGCACGACGAGGACCTGTTTCGGGGCGCCAAACAACTGCATAGACACCCAGGACTGCAAAGCGGTCGTAGCAATATCAGTCCGTGGCGAGCGCTACATATTCGAATTGCAGGGTGAATCCGCCAAATACATAGCAGTGGGTCTATCCGAGGACGACAAAATGGGTGACGACAGTGTCGTCGAGTGCACCGAAACAGCCGGCAAGATCTATCTTCACCACTCCTGGAACACCGGTCACAAGAACGAACGCCTGCCATCGCAGTCCGGCATGCTGAGCCTCGAGCACAGCACCTTCGAGGACAACAGAATCTACTGCAGATTCACCCGCGAGCGACGGACAACCGTCAACAACCGTGAGTTCGATATCGAGAACAATGCGTATTATTTGCTCCTAGCGATGGGTCGCGATCTGAAGCCGAACGGCGTTGGCTATCACTTCTTGCGGGAAGCTTCAGCAACGCGGCGACGTTTGGCGGATGTCGCGCGAATAGCAGCTGCCGACGATGTTCTCATCCGGGTTCATGGGGCGCTGATGATCGCCTCGTGGATTGGCACAGCATCCGTGGGAATTCTCATGGCGCGTTACTACAAGCAGACTTGGCTGCGTTCTTCACTGTGCGGCAAGGATCAGTGGTTCGCATGGCATCGCTTCTTCATGATCCTGACGTGGTCCATGACGATCGCTGGATTTGTCGTTATTTTCGTGGAAATCGGCACTTGGAGCTCTGCAACTGTTCATGCAGCTCTTGGCGTTGCAACGACTGTTCTTGCGTTCATACAACCGTTTATGGCGGCAATGCGGCCCCATCCTGGTACACCCCGCAGGCCGTTGTTCAATTGGGCCCATTGGTTTGTTGGCAATGCTGCACACATTTGCGCTGTTGTTGCTCTTTTCTTTGCGGTACGTCTCACTAAAGCCAAAATTCCTCAGTGGGTGGACTACGTTTTGGCGGCTTATGTCGTTTTTCATGTCGTGACCCATATTATTCTGTCGTTCGCTGGTTGTGTGTCTGATAGACATGACAGTCAGCGGATCAATGCTTTTCCTATGAAGGATCTTCAGAGGGGATCTATGGGGCATCCTGATGCCAGGCGTGATGCGCCTTTGGCCGCCATGCGGAAAATCATTTTCGCCAGTTATTTTATTGTTATTGCTGGATTTGTCGCCGCCCTTGTTGTCATTGTTGTACTTGCACCTGTTGAGGACTCGTGGCAGAAGTTTACGGAGAATTTTTGAGCTGAGTCATTGGTGGATTCGAGAAGGGGAGGGGGCGTTTTTGAGGAAAATATAAATTTGCAGGGCGAGAATTTTTGAGGGGAAATTATTGATTTGGAACCGCAGTGGAAGCTTAAGGCAATTGTGCATTTGGAGAAGTGGCAGTTTTTAATTATTTTTTTTTTGAGACACAGAATTTTAATGGACAAGAGTTTTTGGTGGAAATTTCAGGTGCAGAATTTTTGAGGCGAAATTATGAGTTTTGAGGTGGAAATTTTCAATGGAAACTTGAGGCAACTGTAGTTTTCTGAAATCCATAATTTCTCGTTGAATAACTGAACTGAAATAACATCCCTCGTATATTTTCAAAAATGTTTGACCTACAGAAGCTGAAATCCCCTAAAATTTCCGTAAAACAACAATCTCATAAAATCTCCTAAAAAATTACTGAGGATTGCAGCCGAAAATCCGTCCAACTGTAAAGTTTCTGAATAATATAATAAGATGAAATTTGAATTATCAAGTGATAGTTAAGATTCTTAAATTAATATCCATGTATTTTTGACAAGAAATACGGCAAGCCGATGCTTGGAATTAGCGAATCCTCAATCGACTCCTCAATTATCATGTGTACATATCGCTGAACTAACAGTTCACTATTAAAGAATGATGTATTCAATAGAGGAAATAATTTAATTGAGAGATAAGTTATGAGCGACGGAAGTTGAACCTCTGGATGGTGCATTTACTTAAATCTATTTTTCCGCAAGTTGTTATTACTGATGGCTATTGCAGTAATTGCGCTGGTTGCTGAACACCTACCTGATATTAACTTTCGTATTTTTATGTGCTATATGTATGACGTAACAGTAGTTTTTGTAATTAATTGACTATTTTATTGGCTCGGGGGAGAGCGATTCAGTTTTTCAATGGAACTTTATATCGTTCTCCACTGGGATTGTGCAACTTCTTTTTTATCGCTGTATTGAACATTTTGATTCAATTTTTTTAATCAACTTTACAGTATTAGTTTATTGTTGGAGAAACTTTCGGTCCAATGAGTGGATTTGTAAAAGGATTTATTGAAAATTTATGTATGGAAATAAAAGATTTAGTTTATTAACAGAGGGTTGCTATTTTTCTGAATATCCTATAGTAATATCATAATAATAGTAGCAACAATTATTATTTATAACGCATTATTGTTATGAAAATTGACGGAAACATGTGAAATGTTCGTTTTACAACTGACAATTTCAGTTTCCCTTGATTAAACAATTAAGCAATAAAATCTGAATCTGAAATCGTCAAATCAAATGTAAAAAAATGAAGAAATTTGATAACAACCCCGAATATCCTGGTAAACAAAATGCCTACAAACCCAATAGTTAACATTCTCCCCCCCAAATTTCCTCCCCCATCAATCTAAATAAAAAAACAACCCCCAAATAACTCCCGCGATAATCCATCAATTTAATTCACCAATCCATCAGTCTCCGGGACAAGAAAAAAAAAAATGAAACGAGCCTCGAACAAGTACTAAACCCCACGAACACGAGACATTCACTCCCCCCTTTGGAAATCCACCCCATTCCGCAAAACCGCTCATTACCCGTATGGAGAGTGAGTTCCACAATCCCCGAAATATGTTCTCAATCCCTGTGGAAGCACCCCCATCGCACCCCCTGAAATTCGGTAAAAACAAAACGATGAAAAGTCGAGGCAGTGATGCCGGTTAATTCGAGGTCATCCCTACACCTCCACCTGGTTCTACGTCTCTGCACGCTGTACCCAACGGGTCAAACAGCTCTCGAGGGGTTGTAACCGCGCGCATCATCCCCCAAAATGGCGTCGGATCGAAGGCTCATTGCGTACACCCATACATATAGCCCATGTTTTTACACCCCCTCCTCTCATTCTCACTCACCCCTCCATCCCTTAACCAACTCCCTCCCCCCCAATCCTCTCGCCCCCCTCTTACTCCCCTCTCACTCCGTCTTACCACCCTCTGACCATCCCCTACACCACCATCACCCCCTTTTTCACCCCCTATCATAAACCATCCACTTGCACTAGTCGTGGGGTTGCGTTGGCGTACGCAGAGAAATATCTAGCAGCGTAAACTGGCGCCACCATCGACTTCATCCCCTCTACTAGGGGTTGGAGACACTCTAGAGCACCAGTTCGATTTTAGACACCGGCCGGCATTCACGTACCTCAGTACATGCATTACCACAACTCCGTTACTCCAACGTGAATAGGCCCTCCTATCCCCTCGTCAATTACTCCTCATGGAGGTCTTACGTAGCCTCCCCACCTCCTGGACATAAATCCCCATTCCAAGGGGGTGAGTTCTGGTGGTATCCCTGGATGAAGGACTTGTGATATTTATTGATTGTGTCCTGTGACCGGTGCTTTTTGTTCGTTTTGAGTTCTACTGTTGTTGTTGTTTTTTTTTTTTTTTTAATTAGTGAGTCTGGATTTTGTGATGTGCCGGTGATTACGAGACATTGGATGACATCGATGGATACATGTTGAATTTTAAGGAGGAACTACGGGGTGGAAGGGGGGCGGTGGGTTTTATTTCATAATTATTGGGGGGTGAGTTTTGGGGGTCTCTGGGGGTGGCTTCTCGGAATTATCGGGTTTTTCCGAATTTTTGGGGGGAATATTGTCTCTGGGGATGGGGTGCGGACTTTTGGGGTGAGGTTTGGAATTCGATAGATAATTTGGAATTTATGGGGGTTGTCCGGATTTTCTTGGGGGTGGGTAATCCTTCAGGAAAATTTCAGGAAATTCGGGAGAAACTGATCAGATCAACGAGTTCGTTTTAAATTCGTAATTAGACAGATAATCATCGATATTAGGGGGATTTCAAATTTTTGAGCAGGAGAACGAGAATTCAGTTGTTTAATTGGAGTTTGAGAATTCCATAAATTATATTTCAGATTAAATTCAACTTGGGAACTCAAGAATGGGCTTATAGGATTTTTTGATTCCTATCGATTTTCAGAGAAAAATATATTAATTATCAATTACAGTTATGGGTTTCTTAATGATTTTATTAATTATTAAATTTCTGGACACTTTCGTGGAAACATTTAGACTTGAATTGAGTTTCGTTACTAATTAGTGAGTTCAAGGAGATATTCACCTGAATTTTCTGATCTCCATCGATTTTTACAGAATAGTTTTTATGTAAAATGACTTTCAATTGCGATTTACAAAAAATTGAATGTAATGAATGGATTCAGCCGGAAATGCAAGCAAAATTTATTAGAGAGAGTTTTATAAACGTCTCTGGTATTTTCCGTATCCTTTTTTCAGTGTTCCACATTTCTTTATTTTTCCCAATTATATCAACTCATTACCGAGATTCCTCCAAAACAATGGATATAGGATTAACATTATCGCGTTTCACCCACAGGGGGAAAAAAACTTTTTGCCAATTAAATTTATTAGCGCAACCCAATTTATTTTAATAATAAATCGGCAAAATAATATAATTCGAAATTTCCACTTCTGTAAAATACCCATTAGCCCGAAAACAACTGATTTTACGCAGAAATATCACAAATGCTTTTTTGTTGGGAATTTAATGGCCTCCAAAAAAGTCTTTTGGCGTTTCCGCCTGAAATCAATACTTTCCAATATAAATCGCTTAATAATAGAAAAAGCAAAATTGACTCATTCAACAATCCCCAAAACTTTCATTTTTACTAAAAATGGATGCATCTCAAAAACTATTGATTTTACTGAAAAATATTATTAGACCTTTCAAGTCAGAAATTTCATGAGCTTCAAAAAAGTTCTACAGCATTTCTTCCTCAAACTGCTAGTTTCCGAGTTAAATCGCCAATAAATGTAATCATTAAAATCGACATACCCTATATTACCAAAATTCCAGTTTTCTTAACTATAGATAGATATCAGAAACTATTGATTTTACAAAAAAACATCATAAAATCTTTTCAGTTCTAAATTTAAGGAGCTCCAGAAAAGTTCTATAACATTTTTCCGTTAAATCGATAGTTTTCGAGATAAGGCCATTGAAATGAAGCTCAAATTCGATTCGCCTCGCTTCACTACTGAGACAAGAGTAAATTGAAATAATCTCTCAATATTCCGACGGTTTATTAATCTGATAAAAATTGACAGATTAATGATCATCACGATGTACTTGTACTATCCATTTACCCTTCGTATAAAAATATTAAACTCTCCCTAAACCCTAGAAAGGATTAATCCACGATAATTCCACCACCCGAAATGTCTTGCCCCTTCAATTTTCCACTCCACTAGAAATTCATGAAGTCGAATCACCGGTTAAATATCCCGGGGAATTGATTCCAAAGATGCGCTAAATGCCAATGATCACTGATTCGATGGAGATGAACCGATAGATAGTATTGACATTATCGCTTTGACTATTTTATCTCGCTCCACTGTTCCATCACCAGAGGGGCTTTACCCTTCTGCTTTTAAGATTTTCCAAGATTAGTTTTTCCGATACTCTGGACACAAAAGTCAATAGAGAATCCTGTCTAGCGGATGCGACAGCGTCTTGAAACTAGACTTCCATGTCAAGAAACTCATCCCTCGAAAATTCGCAAGATAATATCTCTCTCGGGTAGAAATGGTCTTCTAATAAAATCCAACGGATGAGATCAAATTATTTATGAAAATGTGAATTACCGCAGGCGATTCTTAACTCTGGAGTGAATATGGATGAGTGTATAAATTTAACAAAGTTATTTAAACACTGACAAATTAAACAAATCAATAATCGCATACTCGTATCTCATTTCTTCAATTTGAATTCTCAAATCTCAAAATTCTCCGAATTTTCTCGGAAACTATAACAACAAAAAAATTTCAATTTTTGTGTTACTCAATTTTTCTAAAAAAGAAAAATCAGAATAAAAAAAGATTTCATTTATTCAATTTGAATTTTCAAATCCCGAAATTCTCCAAATTTTCTCTGAAACTATAACAACAAAA